GGCTATATGTGAACTAACGTCGACTAGATCTACAGCCAGAATTCCATCGAGATCAGCAGGGGGTACAACATTTCCTGGTGCGATGTTCTCATTTTCGACGTGGTGGCCGAGATCATTGTCAAGGTGTTGAGGTACTGACTGAGAGTTTGACATTTTTTAATCCTATAATCAAAGATACTTCAAAGAACAAGTGTAAAATAGTACGTGTTATGAAAGTTTGTACTAGGTAACCACCATTATCCTTAGCCCCACGGTGGACGACAAACTGTTTACCCTAAAATCGGATAACAGTTGAATTTATACACAGTTTTAAGGATACGCGATATAACTTGGCACAAAATAAAAGGATACATAAATTGATATTGAAACTGACTGCAAATAGAAATAAAAGCAAATCAAAGGAAATGTATAGCTTTGGCCCTCAAGCTAGATCGCCCTCGAACCAAACGAATATTCCACTGGTAAATAAGAACAAGGTGACAAAGTATTGATGAACAAGAGAAAAGAGGATTGGGATGATACTCGATTTGATTAATGTTCAAGGAATTTGAGTGTGAAGATTATAAAGCAAAGAGACTTGTTGAAGAAAAAGCAAAGGTAGAGAGGACTTTGAGTGTAAAAGTTTGAATGAGGAAAGGCTGGGGGCTTTATAGGTAACTGGCAACGGTACAGAATCGGTAGTGGCCGACAATAACTGACAGGCATTTAATGCCTTGATACTCGAACCAATGGGACGTTTCAGTATCCGCTTGTCGCTGACGCCATGGTCGGGTTCGTCGGTTATGTCATGACCCATCGAGATGAGATTGAAAAAGTTCATATCGTTTCTCGTCATCTTCTCTCCAAGAAACGAGGGGACTATCTGTATACGATCAAAATTGGGTTTATCCTGGAATGTGGCAGGCCAAGATTCGACCCCATGTTATCGGATCGTGGTGTAAAGATAGATTGTCGAGCTCGTAACCCAAAGATCGATCGAGATCGAGGTCGGCCAAGATCGAAACTGAGCAAGATAGAGTTCGAGCAAGATCAAGGGGAGCTTACCGAACCAAATAACAGAAAGCCAAAATATCCACAATCGAAAGAGGATCACGGCGGAAATCTCAGCACGTATCAAGAAAAGGTTGATTAATTAGCTAATCATGAGATTTCTTACTATATTTAGAATTGTATCAAGGGTAGGACTCCCCTACTATATAAAGGGGAGTTGATCATATGTAAAAGACATCATATTCACGCAATACAAAGCAACATATTATTTTCTCTTAAGTTCTCAATACTTTGTCACCTTGTTTTTATTTACTAGTGGAATATTCATTTGGTTCGAGGACGATCTAGCTTGAGGGTCAAGGATATACATTTCCTTTGGTTTGCTTTTATTTTTATTTGTAGTCAATTTCAATATCAAATTTACGTATCCTCTTATTTTGTGTCAAGTATATCATGTATCCTCTTAATTCAACTGTTATCCGATTTTAGGGTGTGATGACCTAAAATGTCATCTTTAAATTAAATAATCATCTCGGTATTTTAAGAACTTGAAAAGAGATATCAATAATTTCTCAACTTGCGTGCGCAGTCCGTATAATTTTTTGGAAGGTTTTTGTATGAAAAATGGATTAAATTATGAATTAGAGCTTTAAAACTCAACTGAGTTGACTTCGGTCAATATTTTGAGCAAACGAACCTGGATCTAAGATTTGACGGTCCCAGGAGGTCCATAAGAAAATATGGGACTTGGGCGTATGCCCGGAATTGAATTCCGAGGTCTCAGGCCCAAGAAATGAATTTTTGAGTAAAATTGTTTTCTGAAAATATTTAAGGAAAATGGAAATGAAATTTGATTAGAAAGTGATGGTATCGGGCCCGTATTTTGGTTTCGGTGTCCGGTACAGGTCTTATATATGGTTTAAGCAATTTTTGTAAAGTTTGGTTGAAAACGGACGTCGTTTGATGTGTTTCGGACTCAAAATGGAAAATTTGAAAGAATTCTTGGATTTTAAAGCTTTTTTCGTGGTATATGATGTTAGTTTGGCGATTTGATCGTACGGTTAAGTTTGTAGGATGTTGTTGAGTTAGTGCATGTGCTTGGTTAGGAGCCCCGAGGGCTCGGGAGTGTTTCGGAGGTATCTCGGAGTGATTTCGTACTTGGGAAAATAGTAGAAAATTTGCAGAAATAGTACCCAGTGAACAGTACCAATGAACAGTACCTAGTGCGCAGTATCCAGTGAACATTATCCCGTGAACAGTAAAAACGCATGAATAGTGCCCCCGAAAATTCTGGGCAGTTAAAGGACGAACAACACGTTTTTTTTCTTTTTTTTGAGTTTCAAACTCGGATTTTGGGCGATTTTGAGGTATTCTTCACGATTTCAACTCAAGTAAGTGTCCTATACTCGAAAGTGTTTATATTACATAAATCCATGGTTATTTTCATCGTTTAGTTCGGATTTAAATGGAAAAATCAAGATTTTTGCAAAATCTTCCAAAAATGAACATTTTAGATTTCGAGGTCGATTTGTTATCGGAATTTAATAAAATTTGTATGGATGAACTCCTGGTTGAATGGGTTATCGGATTTTGTAAGTTTCGTCGGAATTCGAGACGTGGGCCCCACGAGCGATTTTGAGTTAAATTTCGGATTTTGTTGGAAAATTAGTATTTTCATATGGAATTAATTCGTACGATTTATATTGAGTATATTGAATTATTATGACCAGATTTGAAGCTTCGAACGAATTCGCGAGGCAAAGGCTTGTTGGAATTTTGAATTGGTTGCAAAGCGAGGTAAGTGTTTGGTCTAACCTTAGCTTGAGGGATTAGGAGTTGTGTCTTAATTGCTACATGTTAATTGTAGAGTACGACGTATAGGCATGGTGACGAGTATCTATAC